GTTTTTTGTTTGTCTTTTATTGTCATTTTCGAGTGATTTTCAGCGATAAAATACTTGCTTATGTATTATGGGGCTGCTTTGTGACTACAGATAGGCTTTTGATTCACCTTATCTACGGTCGAGGTCGCATATCCTTTGCCTGCGCACCACGTGAATCTCGTTCTTCCATACTTGTATCGCTCTTGCCCTAGTCCCTTCGTTTTCACTTCGCTTCTGCTATATGAGCTTAGCATGGTTTGTAGATTATTTAAAGCACTCTTTGGATGCACTCACGTGCTTTGTTTTGATTCTGCCTTGTCTTAGTTAAACGGCAAAAGGACAATACTTAGACTCACATTGGTTTGCTAATTGTTTGCAACACGTTCTCCATCCTTCTACAGCCCCTAATTCTTTCCGAAAACGTAAGATATTTGAGCCTGGGTATAAGTTAGAAGGTCGTTGCAAGATAAGGCATTTTAATGGAATGCCGTGCTTTCAAGATGACTACTGAGGCCTCGGGTGACTGATGATGTTACGTGGCTAAGCTGAGTTGTAACCGATTATTGTTTTATCTCATCTGCTTCAAGCGCTATTCTGGATATCTCATTGCCGATAACTTCCCTTCATCCCACACTCAATGGGGTTTTTCTCTCGTGCCGTCTCCTTAAGGCATTTTTGGAAAAGTTTACTGTATCGAAATTATCGGCTAGCCCCACACTAATTATGCTCAATATCATTTTCTGCAGTTTGGCCTTTCCACTCCACCTCAATATCATCACCTTTTCCGAAATGGACGTACAGCGTTTCGCCACTCTGGATACCACTGACACGGGTCAGAATGCCCAAGTGGCCACGGTGAGTCGCACCGCTACTCCACCACCACCGCAGCCACCGCCGCCACCACCGCCATCAGCTAGCCTAGAGGCTTTTGCACCGCCTGTGGTGGCAGAATACTGGTGCCATACACAGGTTCGTGTTACCAAGCTGCGTTACATCTGGACCATTAGCAACTTCTCTTTTTGTCGGGAAGAGCTCGGTGAAGTGGTGAAGAGCAGTGTCTTTTCCTCAGGACCTAACGACAAACTTAAATGGTACGTGTTTCTTACTCCACCTAACACATCTTTTCCCATTTGCCCACTGTAAAGTGCAGAACTGTACATAATACTCAACCTATCCTGCACCAAGCGTGGTTTTACCTTTACAGCAGTACACGAACTTGTCGTACTGATTTGTATCGTGAAGAAAAAAGTGATTGAGTCTATAACGCTATTACGTACTACTGATCCTTGTATGCTTTTCGATTTGCATCGTAAAGGTAATAACCGTTTCGGGATGTGTCTGAATCTCTCCCATTTATGGTGCAAGTTAAGAAGTGTTCATTTTTCCTTAACCGCCGACGGGGCAATTTGAAGCCTAAACCTAGCTGAGGGGTAGGTGGGAAAGTGAAGTTTACCTTTTCTCTGTGACGTCCCTATCTTATCCTTGAGTTAAGAAGGCTTCAGGCCTAGTTTTAGCCTACCACAGTGGATCCTTGAGCCTCTTCTTTTGGATGGAAATTACACATACGGAAAGAGGACAGTGATTGGCCCTGATAAAGCATGCAATTTGGTCATAGGGGCCCAGCATGACAGTCACTGAGGTAGGCATGAC